AAACATCTCCGGAATCTCGGCCCGGATTGCCGCAACCACCTCATCGTGGATTATCTGACGAAGCTCCTCATCACTCACACCGCTCGTCCCAGGTATGTGGCGTGTCCCAACCATAATGCCTCTGAAATACAACATAAATATATCAGAGACTCAATCGAGCATACTCGCACTCGATAACGCAACCCAACTCGGCCTCCGATACCCAAAGGATTCTTACTTGGGTTGCCCACTGATCCGGTGTCTTCAGTAGTACGGGCCCTATACTACCAACGACACCGCATCAGCATTCACCCCAAGTCCTCCTCCTTGGACCCCGGATCACGAGTACTCTATTCTTGCTATGCACTGGCTACCTACTCGCTCTCAAGGCATCTCATAGCAGCAGGTTCCCCTAGACTAAGGCATCACAAATCAGGCCACTCTAGTCCTAATATGAATACCTAGTCTATTCTAGCATGCATAACATATCATAACATATCTCATAACACATATTGTAACGGTATTTTGAGGATTTTACCGTTCGGGCGCTGGCTGACCGTACACACTGCTTCTCCTTTGGTTATTACAAAATCTCTTATAAAATTTTATGCCTTTATTATTGAAATTTTTTCTCAAATCCTCGGTTTGAGTTCAGTTACGCCCGAAGGTGCATCCGAATCCCTCAAACCAAGGCTCTCATCCAATTTGTAACAACGTGAATTTTCAAAACAAAATTTTCATTTCTTAAAACATGTTTTCATCCATTCAAGTCATAAAATCCAATGTATTATAACATAATACAAATCATGTAAACCCCAAGATCATAAATAAATCATCTGATAGTGTGTACAGATCACGCTGGTACCTTCCCACGGTCCTCGCTAGTACCTGAAACACGTAACACAACAACTTTAAGCATAAATGCTTAGTGAATTCCCCAAAATACTACTTACGCACATACGCCCTTCCACAACCTGACCTTCCGGTCCATGTGTCTCAGGGGACTTCCGTCCCGACCCGGTAAACCTTCCGGTCCTACCCGCGTCAACCTTACGGTCCACATCACAACGCCTTCCGGCCCATAACATATATGCCTTCCGACACATAACATAATGCCTTCCGGCCCATATCAAGCATAGCATACATAGCACATACAAACGGTTAATCTTATCATATACAATGCATACAACTCATAACATATCCGACCTTCCGGTCACACAATAATACCCTTCCGGGTACAGTATAGTGAGAAAACTCACCTCGTGGAAAGTCTAGAATCTCACGTGCTTGCTATCTCCGAATCTCGAAACGAAGACCCAACCCCGCCTAATCATAACGAAATATCATTCTAATTAATATCGACTTCTAAGACTAGGCTTCACCCTTATTGATATTCCTCAGAGGGGTAAAAGACCATTTTACCCTTCCTTGACTCAAAGCCACATGTTGACCAAAACCCTAAAAGTCAACGAAAGTCAACATATCACCGTACGCAGGGCGTATCTACTTATGTACGCGGGGCGTACATCCCTGATCTACAATCGGGGTCTCAACCCCGTACGCTGTGCGTACTGGGAGTTACGCCCAGCGTAACACCCAGATTCAGCCACTCTTTATTTATGGTCTTAAATGGTTAAGACACTTCTTCAACTTCTAGATCCGGCTCTCTTTAAGCCTCCTTACCCATAAAGTCGAAACCTTTAAGCCTTGGCATGGCTGTAAAGGCTCCTACACTCCCTAATACCTTTCCTTTTCAACTCAAAAAATCTAGATCTCATGCATGGCTAATCATTCACGTCCAAGATTACATTTTTATGAACATACAACTCAAAAGGACCAGAAATATGATAGATCTATGCCAATGGAGACTACTTGCTCATAAAGTCTCCATCTTTGGGACCAAAACCCTAGAAAATGGTCCATAAAGCATACCACAAGAACTACAAGGCAACATCTGAACTTTTTACCTTAGGAAGAAGCTCCAACCTCTGCTATTCACGGATCTACACTTGAACACCAACTTCTAGCCTCCACAATGGACTCCTCTTCTCTTTTGCTACCTTGAAATGACACCTCAAAGCTTAGAACACTCACAAACAAGCTATGAACGTAGGAACAACTCTCTTAGGGTTTCTTTCTGAAGGATGGTGGCTGAGGAACCAAGCCATATCATTCCTTTTATAGCCAACAACCAATATTAGGGTTTTTGGGTCTGGACCGGTTACGCCCGGCGTAACCTTGGGTACGCCCAGCGTACCCGGGTGATGACGTGTTTAAATGAGGCGCGCGAGTACGCGCAGTGTACTCGCCCAACATAAAGATGAAGGGCAAATTAGTGGTACCTGAATTTCGGGCTGTTACATCAAACCACATACCTATGCTTTATTATATAACCCTTTTTCCTTAATGTGTTCACACGAACATCAAAACCAGCTTGCTCTGCATATATTTTATAAAAATTAACTCCCTCATCAACATCTTTAAACCTCAATGACTTAGTAGGTTTAAACTTTTTAGGAACGTCTATTCTAATATCATGCAGAGGCTCTGACATATTAAAATCGGATACACAACTTGTACTTGTCATACTACTTAAATTTGCATCATTGGAATAAGAACAACAATCACTTGTAGAATCAACGAATAATCACATGTGATTAAAAATGAGTTCCTTATATAATCATATGTGATTATAATAGATAATTGAACATAGATAAACTAAACATGTGTCACATATGATTAACAGTATAATAAACTTACAATCACATATGATTAACACTATAACAACATATTTAATAAAGAACTACATAATAATCACATAACATAAAATTGATTATACATCAACGTATGAAATGTAAAATCACATGCGATTAAGGATAAATTTATTAACGAATCAAATGATTAATGTGATTAATAATGAATTCCTTGTATAATCATATGTCATTATAAGAAAAAATGAACATAGATAAAATAAGCAGATGTAAATATTTATTAAAACATGAAAAAAAAATGAATAATCACATATGATTAACAAAATATTAATCACTTTTACTAAATTATTGAATAATCACATAATATTATAAAAACAGATTCAATTCTTAATACATGAATAATTAAAACTTACATGAAAAACTAGATATTTGATTTTGATGACTTGATTGTTCAACATCTTCATCAACAACTTCAACACTCTCAACAAAAGTATTAATTTGATCTTCATTTATAAAGTAACTCACATTATCGTTTGTATAAGACATTGTCAAACAGTAGAACCTGTTATTAACAACATAAACATTTATAATTAAAACAAATATTATTTATATATGATATAAAACACTATAATATAAAATATAAATGTTATGCTATAATATAAAATCTAAATGTTCATAACATTTTTTTATTATAACATGTATCAATCAAATATGATTTTAAACATATTTGACCAAAAGAAAATATGATTATAAATTATATTAATAATGTATGATTTAAAGCATTGTATTATAGTTTATAACATATATCAATCACATATAATTTTATCAATGTTAATAAAACATTTATAGTTTATAACATATATCAATGATATCAATCACGTATAATTTATGTTGAGTATTATCGTTTATATAATATATATAAATCACATCTGTTTCTTTAATAGCTAATCATAAACTGTTAATAAAAGAACTTAGTCACAGTTGATTCAAACAATAAGATTTTAAACATATACTAATCAAATGTTTTCTGAATGATTTAGGTTTCCAGCAAACATAAATCACGATTACAAACTTCATACTCAACAATTTCGATTTATACTACATAAATACAACAACAAATGCAATAATCGATGTTAAATGGTCAACATAAGGTACAATATATTAAACCTAACTCTTTTCGAACTAAAAATTTTCAATTTATACTTCATAAATGCAAAAATCAATGATAAATGATCAAAATAAGTTCTGAAAAGTGACGATCTTTACTTTTTCGATGAACAATTTGTTAAGCCTAATTGTTTTCAAACTCAAAACGTTAAATAACCGATTCTATTACTAGGATAGATGAAATAAATAAAAAATACCAGTGTTTAATCATAAAAAAAAGTTATGTAAAGTGGAAACTTTTACATTTTGATAGAAGGAACAGTTAAACATAAAATTCTTAGACGATGATACAATTTCTTCTTCTAACAATCGACAAACAACAAGCATAAAATTTTGGAAGAAAAATCCAAAAAATCACTGAGGTTTGGATGAATTGCGAAAAAAATCAAATCGAATAACTCTGAATTCAAATGATAGTCTCGAGCTTGCGTTCAACATGTAAAGGAATCAGATAACATAATCATTTATAACAGACAAAGTTACCAAAATACCCCTGAAAATAGAAACGCACAGATTTTTTAATGTGATAGGCAAAAAAATGCTTGGAAAGGTTTGCTTTAAATAATATAAGTTTTGTTTTCTCCGGTCTTTTGTTCAATATAATATTTTTATACATTAAAAAATGTTTTAAATGTTTTTATATAAACGTAATATTAAATACACGCTTTTATATATTTAAATATGAAATATATATATATATATATATATATATATATATATATATATATATATATATATATATTTATTTATTTATTTATTTATTTATTTATTTATTTCGTATTTAAATATATAAAAACGTGTGTATATATATATATATATATATATATATATATATATATATATATATATATATATATATATATATATATATATATATATATATAAAATCAGCTTCTATTTTACAAACACCCTAAAATTAACCTTCAGAAATGACCTTTGTAAAAAGCAACGAATATTTTTATAATATTACAAATTTACCACCATATTTATTTTTGAAATTGATCTTGAAAATCTAATGATTGACAAGATTATTTCTTATTTTTCTCAAAATTTAATCAATTTTCGCCAAAGATTGTATGTGTATGAACCCATGGAATAAGTAAAAAATAAATACTTGCTAATTATTAAAACGAAGTTTATTTCACTACTATGATATACATGGTACATATAAAACCTTCTAGGGGTTGCACACTTTTATACTCACCAAACCATAAAATCATATAAACTATCTCCGGTTGAGTTTTTAAACCAACTTATTTCAATCTTTATAATAAAAGCCACATTTTTTCCAAAAATACTAAGGAAAACACCATATGTTCTTTTACTCATTTTTTGACACGGTGGTATTATTCTTATTATTATCATTATTATTTCCACGACGTCAACCCCATCTACATGCGACCCTAACCTTGAGTCCATGTTTCATGTAAAGAATGACTGAAACATTAGGAGCCACTACGTGACCTTCCTCCATTTCGAACTCGTAATTGTGCAAAATGGTCGCACCTACAGCCTTTATTTGAGTGAATGCAACATGTTTCCCGATGCAAGTCCTTGGGCCAGCGTTGAACGACAAGAATTTGTACGACGGCTCATGCCTTATCATCTGCTTGTCGGAGATCCATCTCTCCGGTTTGAACTCCCAGCTATCGTCCCCCCAAATGGTTTTCATTCTCCCCATTGCATACAAAGAAAACATAATCTGCAAATCAAGGTGTATATATATGCAAAAACAAGCTCCATTCAACGCACATGCATTCAGCTTAATTAATTTATGAAGAAGTAAGTACTTAATGCTACCTTCATATTGGGATAGACACGATGGCCACTAGGAAGAACATCAGGTTGAACCGGAGCCTTGTGCTGAAATGGAACAGGCGGGTATAGCCTTAAGGCTTCGCAAAACGCCGCATGTAGATAAACCAACTTGTTAGTTTCCTCTGTTTCAAAAAGTTTAAAACTTTCCATTTCAGAAGTTGGGATAATATTCGCATTTATCTCCTCTCGAATCTTTTTCTCGACGTTTGGGTGGGTGATAACGAGCCAAAGGAACCATGTTAGGGATGAGCTTGTTGTGTCCCTCCCTGCAATCATCAAATTCAAGATCGTGTCTCGTAAGAACTTATCATCGTATTTGAACCCCTCACCGAAGCATTCAGGCTCGCACGTTATCAATGAAGTCAATATGTCGATACCCTTTGAGTCATCTTTTGACACGATTCCTTCCCTCAAGTCTTTCCTTTTTCTTGAAATGAGACCTCTTATCACATCATCTAAGGTTTCCCGTGCCTCCTTCAGTTTCTTCTCCTTCCCAATCCCCAACCACCTTTGTAGCTTCCACACGTTTTTTGGAAGGATGTGACGTGAGAAGATTGCTTCTTCAGCTTCATCCATGGCTCTCGAGAATGGCACATCTTTGAAATCAACAGATAAGCAACCAGGGTCGTATCCAGTTACGAACATGCAAGTAGTGTCAAAGGTTAGTCTTTGAAACACATCTTGGATGTCGACCACAACCCCTGTTGACGCCACATAGTCAAGAACCGGAATCAAGCCTTTAGCAACTTTCTCCCTGTTCATCTTAGCAATGAATCGTAGAAAATTCATATTGCTAATCAAAGCATTGATAAGTTTCCGGTGGCTCTTCCACAACTCGTAATCGGAATTGAAAATCCCATCTCCAAGAAGTTCAAAAATCTCTTTAAACTCTTCGCCTTTTGGGAAATTCAAGAAGTTGGAGCTCATGATGTGGTGGATATCGGCGGGATCAACGGTGCCCAACATGTCCATGTGAAGGAACCTTGGACCTTTGACCAAGAAAGTGCCGCCGGTGCGGCTGAGAACATGGATACACAGGTCGTGGATCCTGCTGACACGACGGAGCAGTGCTGGAAGCATCCCTACCAACGGCCACTCAAATATCATCGCGTGCCGTTGCCGGAAAACAGAGAGACAGTAGTAGCAGATTGCTGCGAGGATGATCTCAGAGTAGCCGAAGGGGAGCACCATTTCTTTGTGTGGTTAGTTATGTGGGAGAAGATTAGATGAGGTGATGCGTAGTATTTGTATCGGTGATGAAGTGACAAGTTTGATTGGTTGTTGCGTGATATGTAATGACGAGTCATAAAAAAGGCAATTTTGTTTTCTGTATAAAGTTACCAACTTAAGCATGCAAAATACATTTTGAGTTTAATGAAATCACAATGTTCATAAAACTCTATCAAAAAATTTCTTACCATCTATTCAAAACCGAATAATTTAAATCTAATTCATGAGATATTTAACAATTAAAATGTTTTTTTTTTATTTAAGAAATGAATGATCGTTTAACATTGTACACCAAAACATTATATTTTATGATAATAAAATTTAATCTATTGAGTACACAGTAGGGTATCCATAATAATGCATTGAACTTCATAGAGTTCAATGGATTGACATATCATCTTTCTACAATCTATATAACTCTATCATTTTCTTTTCCTACAATGTATTGAACTCTACAAATTTAATAGAATGTTATAAAATGTAATTTATAGTAAATATTTATAAATTAAAAACTTTAACTTTTTTCTCATTAAAAAGTTCAATAACCATTAAATTCTAAATCCATTAAATGTCAATGTAACATCTTACAATTGTACACATAGAATTGTCACCTCATTCAACTCTTCTATTGAACTCACCATTATGTATGCTCTTACACATGACCAAGGGTGCATTTATATTTTATAGTGTCCGGAAAGGTCTCGTGCAACTAAATTTTTCGTATTAATGTAAAAGAATTTTTCTTTATTAGTTTGCACCTAAAAATGATAATATTTTTATTACAATTCACCTAAGTGATGGTTGACTTGCTATAATGTGGTGTATCAAGGTTCTTATTTGAAGACTTGAAGTGGCTTGGGTTTTAACTCCACTCTCAATTTCTTTTAACACATACAAAGCCAACTCGGACCTCAATTTGAGGCCACTACCATCCTTCCTTTTGGCTTCTCACCACTAATGTCTAATATGAGCCCACCTTCCTATTCTTCCACTTTTTTTTTTTTTTATCGTGGATGTTGTATTTTAACTTTTACGATCGCTTTCTTTATATCTCATTTCTTATTTTTTTTATTATTTTAAATTTAATACGTACAGAGCCAGCCGATTCGGACATCTCTTTATATTTTATTTTTTAGTTTTCATTTATTCTAAGTTTTAACACGTACAGAGCCGGTTCGGACCTCAATGGGAGGACGGGCCACGGCTATCCATCTTTTTGTGCTTCTGAGTTCTGACTATCTATGTCGAATATAGCCCACTTTCCTTAATCTTCCATTCATATTATTTTTATCTCAAAGTAGATTTTGTATTTTAAGTTTTAGGCCCACTTTCTTTATATCTCATTTCTTAGTTTTCACTTTCATTTATTTCTCATGAAAAATATTTTCATTAACCTTTGATATCCACATTTATATTAACACAAAAACATGACAATGCAAACGAAATCATTTCGTTAACGCCACATTGGTTTTTTGAGAAATGTAAATGTTTCTATTGATATTTTTTATGCGAAAAGAAAAAAAAAAAAAACCAACATCAACAAATTATTCAATTCTCTTAGCCAAAGATATTTCATTCCCACCATGAACAACAAGTTCTAATTTTACCCTCTATCTCCATAAAAATCGAAAAGATAATCACGTCCCGTGTAAATTATCAACCACTTTGAACGGTTTCTATGATAAATCATAGGACCCATGAAATCACCAATTTACTTTTCGTAAAGTTTGTTTGCACTAGTATGTTATATATATGTACTCGTATTTTTAATTGTTTTATGTTATTATATTTGATCGTAAGAAAAAAATTGGATTCACCTACTAGCACATGACACTTTCTTGTTTTTTTAATAAACTATTCATTTTAGATGTTCTTAAGTAATTTTGTATTATTTGACTTTGACTTGTTATAGAATACCATTTTCTCTTGTTACTTAGTTTGTTAATAAGATAAAATAGAGAAAACATGTTTTATCATGGTAAACTTAGACATTTAGCTATGTTATAAAGATTAACTATAGTGTTTTTTTTTTAATGACAAAATTTTATTTTGCAACTAGCAAGGAGTATTGGGGTGACCTTATGTCAAAATCGAACTGCAAATTGCACGCATTGGTTTAGTAACCTTAAAACGATAATATGCGGTTTTCAAGTAGTTTAGTTTTACATTTTTCCTGCGATTCAGTTTTAAGTGTGGTTTCAAAAACCCGTCGAGACTAGAAATAAAACATTTTTTTATTAAACTTTAGCGTTTAGCACTTTACCTAAAACATTTTACCTTTTTAGTCCACAATAAAAAATTTAGTAAAATCATATTCTTGGTCCACAAACACGACCATAGCCAGACTAATGACCTATTACGACTTATAATGATCCATTTGATATTATAATTCACCAATGAAAAAAACCATCGTCTTAAACATCTAATAACATAAAAGAATTTTAAACATTCATAATAACATAAAATAAATTTTAATATATATAATTATCGCGTGTTGTTTGGTTTTAAGGGTCAGTTTCTATAATAAAACCCAACCACACCGAACATATCATTTTTGTCATATTAAAAATCACACTGTCAGTTTGTGCATCTATTTCTTATCAATTTTGATTTGTTGCAGGTTTTTTTGGTTTTTTTAGATCGGATCGGTTTTTGTTCACCCATAGGAAGCAGAGGTGTTATTCGGTTGGTTTAATCGGTTATTGGTTTGTTTGGTCCAGTTTAATTTGTTTTTTACTCTAAAATATTAATCGGAAATGAAACTACTAAAGATTTGAGTTGATAGATTTTCGTTCTAATTTTGTGTGGTTATTAGGTTTGGTTTGCAGTTGAATTTGAATAAGATATCGTAAACATTGATTTACTCGGATAAAGTGGAAATTATGTTGGATTTGTATGCTAAGAATCATTATTTAATGACATTGATAATAACATATGATCCTTTAGGATCACATCTTAATCAAGTGGATACTTATTAAACATTTATTTAGTAATTTGTTATTAATAAATAAATTTAACTCTTCTATTTAATTAGAGAATAATTATTGTTTTATGAAAATAAAAATAAAAGAACCCACAAGCTAGTCATTATATGATAAGGTATCATATGATAAGTCATGTCCAAATTTTTTGTCACTTTTGTTAACTATGATTAAGTTAGTGAGTCACTTTACCATGGTTAATAAACATGGAGACAATTTTTGTCCTTTGCAACCCTCATGGCCGAAGTTAGTAGGAGTATGAGAGGTTGCTTGTCAGCGTCTCATATCTTGTCACCCCATGCTTGCTTTACTTTATAGTAATTTAGATTATTATAAGGGGTTTGATTTACCTTGCATTGGATACTTAAAGAGAGTATCTTACATGAAAGTCGCTAGTTTTTTTGGCCTCTAGAATTCTCTCAAAACACCACAAAAAGTTGTGCATTTTTCTTCTTCCTTCTCTCTCACTTTTGAAGCTTGGTTTGTGAAGATTTGGTACATCATTTGTATCTGCCTTTAGTGCTTATGTGTTAAGAACTTAAGGCTTAAAGAATAAAGTCTTACAATGTAACATTCGGATTTCCAGGTATCATAATTTAAGTATTTACTTTTGATTTAAGAAGGGGGGATCGACGAGTTCACGCCTAAACTCGTCGAGTAGGATCGTGACTGATGACTCAGATTAATGAATGGACTCGACGACTGCGCTGTTGACAGAAACCCTAAATCTTTGGGCCTGAGCCCTATTTAAAGGCACTTATGGCCTTCATTTGCGGCTACCTTCCCATAAGAGAGAACCCTAACAAGTTGAGTGTATAGAGTGAGAGAAAGAGCCATCTTGAGCTTTTTGGTGTGATTTTGCAAAAGGGAGAAGAGCTCCAACAAGAAGGACCAGAGAAGGTTGTGGTTCTAAGTTATTCAAGCAAAGAGCTTCATTCTGAGGCGGAGGCTAGATCGGGGATTCGAGCACGACAATTTTCTAGACATTTTTCGATTTGAGTCTTCTCACTATAAATTACCTAAAGTGGTATTTATGTGCCGACCGGAGGGTCTTATGTGTTATGTGCTTGCTTGAGATTATGTGCTTTGTGATTTATGTATGCTATGTGATATTAGACCAGCCCGAGGGTCCAACGACTTATGAGGATAAAGGATCCTCAACCAGACCGGACCGGAGGGTCCAACGATGTAGATCGGACCAGAGGGTCCAACGAGCTACAGGGACTGGAGGGGCTCGCTGAGACACATTGATCGGAGGGTCTTATAGCCTCAAGTGGATTATGTGTTGTATGTGGTATTTGGGGAAGTCACTAAGCATTTATGCTTACCGTGTTATGTGTTTCAGGTACCAGCGAGGATCGCGGGAAGGCATCGACATGATCTATACACACTGATAGAGTATTATGTGTTATGTATTCGAGATTCTGGGATATGTTTCATTGGGATAATATTTGATGCACTTGAGTTTGTGATCACTTTATGAAATATGTTATGTTATAAAAATGAAAAATTGTTTTGAAAATTTACGTCGTTACATACAAGAAGAAATCTAGCAATTTTGGAACCTTATTCTTGGTGGTGGATACCTATAGAGAAGTTCAAGCTTCATGTTCTTTCCATCTTCATCAACACCCTAAATTCAAGAGGATCCAAAGGATTCAAAGGTTGTTATTTCTAAACACCCTATGGTTGACTTAATATCATTCTAACCTCTTTAAAATGATCCTTAATGATTTGGTTTTGTTATATATTTGAAATTTACTATAAATTTTTATAGCTTTTGTTGCCGGTTTTTGTGAAAAATTAACTACTTTATTGTGACATTCTTAAATTCACGGTCATTTAAAAAAAAATTATTTGTGCTTCTTTTAAAATCTGAGTACTCTTTTTGAATAAAATATTGCGAAATTTGTTCCCAGAAAAACATGATGATAATATTATCAAACCATTACCGAAGAAATGTATTTTATTTATATTAAA